CCCCCAGGCCCCGGTTCCGCCCCTTGGCACGCGAGCGTGCCATTCGGGTCGCCGTGCAGGCGTGGTGCGGCCTGGCGTGGCCGACCCTCCGGCTTTACAGTTAGCCCTTGGCTGGCTTTCGCCCCCTCCCTCCCCCTTCCCCACGGCCGCGCTGGATCCTCGGGGAGGCCATCACGACGTCACTCGGACGGACGGACGGACGGACGGGCGGACGGACGGGAGGGCGGACTGGCCGGTGAAAAGCCGTCGTGAAAAACGAGAAGGAAAATGATTCGATCCGCTTTGTGACAACTTTAAATGTCATTGCACCAATTATTATCTTTTTTTAAAACGGAGCTCCGCGCTGCGCAAGTCCGCGTGGTGAGGGGCAGTGGCCCCCGGTGGGGAGCGCTCCGGGCCGGGAGCGTCTTTACGGCGGCCGGCCGTGAGTGACGACAATCAGGGCCGAGTTGGGGGCGCAGTCCGGGGCGGGCGAGGGGCGCCGCTGCCAAGAGGTGAAAATAATTCCAACTGCTGACTCGCCCGCCCTGGCGGAGCTCCGCCGGTCCGCAACGAGTTTCAATCGCCGTGTTCCGTCCTGGCTCTCGGCCGAACGCGCGCCCCCGGCCGCTCGTTCCAAAAGAGGAGCACGAGGAGCAAGAGGAGCGGGGCGTGCCGGGCCCGGCGGGGGCAGCAGGAGTTGGAGGTGGCACGGCGCCCGGCCCCGCCCCCCGGGCCCCACCTCCCCGCCGCGCGTTGGCATGGACGTCACGGAGCGACGCCGCCGCCCCCTCAACTAATTCAACTTTGTCAGTAGTAGCTCGTGGGCGCCAAGTTCCGCCTGCGGTTACACATCCCTCTGTCTCGCTCCCTCTGTCACCACCTGCCGCCCGCCCCACCAGCAGGGCCGCCGTATTAGTCGGTATGGCCCTCTCTCTGGTTGATTATGCAAACGAGCTATGTACACACACGTGTGTTACCTTTGCGATCGGCAGGGCCTGTGCAGGAGCAGCAGGGCCTGCTGCGCCACGCTGCGCCTGCTGCAAGACGTGCGCAGCTGATGCTCGAGCTCAGCCCCGGCCCCGGGCCCGGCTCTGCGGCGCCTCCCGGATTACCCGGCTGATCAGTCAAGCGGCCCTCCTGAGCCCGGCCCTTGGCTTCAGCCTGGCCGCCCATTAATCACCTCACGTCCAATTAAAACTATGACACGCTAAGTCGACCGCTCGGCTCGGCTCGGCCTGCGCGCGCAACTCGCGCCGTTTGTGTCGTTATTAATGAATCGCCTGCTCACCCTCACAGCACAGGTGTCGCCCCGCAGCAGCGGAGGAGACGGAACAGCCAGCGCTACACTCGCCACACTGCACCGCCCAAGCTGTAAGATACAAGTGACTAGTAGTTACTAGTGACAAGTAAATACTAGTGACAGGTGGTTACGAGTGACAAGTAAACATACTTGTGACTAGTAAAACTCAAAGATAGCTTAAATGTCACATGTAGGTATCATGTGCACTCACACACTAACACGATAACTCCTTCGTTGCTACGGTGGTTGGTAAATACAAACACCTATTACAATAGGTGTACATGTCAACTTGCACTGTTTTTCAATTTCATGGTACTATCACATGACATTGCGTTATGAAAATTGCAGGGGTACAAACAAATGGAGCAGTCAGCGTAGAACGCAGAATTAAAATTCAAGAGTGCATTTAGGGAAACGTTCTCATCGTTCGAGTGCATTAAATGTGATATACCAGGTTCAAACTATAGGTGTTAAAACTATAGATCGTATAAGTGACGTGATAAAAAGCAGAGCATTTTCCAAATGCTAATTTTGAAATTGAAAGGTCATATCGTCAGCTCGCAGCGAGCCCGTTCCCTGTTTGATCGCGGCATCGTCGTCGTCGTGCCCCCGCGTATGATTATGAGAAAGGCAATCTCATTCGTACAGCATTGATCGTGTGTGGAAGGGGGAGCGGGTGGATGTCTCAGAGTGGAGCCACGCTACAGCAGTAAAAGTATATTGCCCGGCAAAGTTCGTCGTGACTGCGGGGCGTCTCGTGGGCGCGCCGTGCCGCCGTGCCGCGCCGTGCCGCGTGCCCCTCTCCGACCGACCCGGGCGTAATCGCTCTCCGAATGACTGAGAGGGGAGGGGGGAGAGCAATGAGGAGGTGCAAGGGAAGGCGTGGACAACAAACACAGGAAAGTGACGCGTAAACAACAGTAACGATCTATATATATTTACAAAGGCAGTTCTACACATATAGGAACGATTTCCAGCTGACAAAAAACATCAGCAGTTCTCTATCACGATAGCTTATGATACAAACGTCATTGAATAAATGGACAGTCTGGCTCTCTACACGCCAATAAATGGCCGGAGGTTATCACGAACCTGCGGCCCTAGAGGGAGATAAAATGATATGTCACTTTGTTGAGCGTTTTCAGCACGAAATTTGATATGTATCGTTCTAGAATTAGTTCGCATTTTTTCTTTTAGGAAGAACTACGCAGCAACCGGCTGATATAGTCAGCTTCTTGTCGGCAGGAGTTATTTTCTTGACTTCTTTTACAAAATTTCATTTTCTGCCCAGGAGTTGGCTGTAAGAAAAATTATGATTCAGTACTCTGACTTAGGCAGAAACTGATGTTGTGTAAAACGTCGAATATATTACTCACCCTTGTAGTGCATGTCCCGGTACATGGTCGGGCAGTTCTTTCCCTGAAACATCAGAAAGGTAAGTGTATGATGTAACCCAGGCTGAGGCAGACTAGTCCCTTGGCACAGTTCGCCTCACCTGCGCCTTGAAGAAGTCAATGTTAGTCCTCACGGTACGATGGTGCAGGGGCTGCAGCGGACGGGCGTTGTTCCCCAGCGGGGCCTTGGGGGTTTCGGGCGATCCCTGCATCAGCTTGCGCAGCGCGTACAGCTGAAGACCAAAACAATTAGCAAAGACCCAACATTAATTTAATGTGAAAAGACTGATTCTTTACAAGAATCTTAGCTCACTCTTGAACTGCAAGAGTCAAGAGTCGGACAAGAGTTCCTCCATATGGAGAAGGGCGCGTTTGCTCTACACTTACAGCAGTAGGAATACGCTCTAAGCGTGTAGGACTTTCCCACAATCGCAAGTGTATGACAAGCGTATCCTATTCTTGCACTTGTGGAAATTTTCGTCCTAGTCTTGCAAGAGTAGGTCTGTCCTAGTCCTTCTCTTGCATTTTCAGACCAGCGTCCGGTATGACCATTACCGGTCTGGGGTCTGGCTACCTAAAGATTAGTACACTGTACATAGTACATAGAACATGAAGAGTGGGGAACCGGAAGTGTGCAACCCAGGAGCTGTCGACTTCCTAGCGCACAGCAACAGAGTTCTGCACTTGAAAGCGCCGACTCTAAATGTGAAAGGAGGGCAATTCTGTATCCAGCAAAGATGTGGTATAAGCTCATCAAGCACATTTTCATCTGAAAAGTAACAAGTAATTATTTCTAGAAAAAGTACAAATAGTTTCTTTACGTGTCTAGCTTAGAGATAAATTTGCAACCGACTGAAATGTGCTTAAGAACACATCCTCGCTGAATGCAGTCCTTTTCCATTTAGAGTGCACAACTTGGAGTTGCATACTTGCTTTGTCAGTATAAAACCAATAGCAGTAAACCCATAAAGCTTCTACAGTTACTGAGGTGAAAGTAACAAAATTTCAATTAACCTAGGCTAACACTACTAGTTCTTTTTACTGAAATATAAATGTAGCAAAATTAGAAGCAATAAGGAAAATCGTGAGAATCGTAACTCAAATGACTGCCGAGAAGAAAAGTACTACCGTAGCATGCTCAAGCAATAAGAGACACGAACCTCCTGTCTGGTGATGTAGATGGGCTTGTTGATGATGATCCAGACGGTGGTCTCCCAGCAGCCGGGGTGTGTGGTGCTGCCCTCGTACGTCATGTAGTGGTCCGTTTCAGGCAGGAGCGCACGCACCGACAGCTGACGGATCGGCGTGGCCTGACCTGCGCGCCCAGCCCGGCCCCGGGGGCCATCCATAAATTAGACCAAGATTCATCCCCCTTCTACCGCGCAGCAACCCGACTACCCTACTCGACGGGCACAGCCCCTTACCTCGATGGTGAACTTTGTTGAAAACCGATGTAATGAGCCTCAACTCGGGGGTCGGTGTTTCTCCAATCTGCAACAGGTCAGGGAGTAGAAAAACGTGGGAAAAAGACTGTGCAAAGTAAAAAATAAATTTAAAAAAACACTTACAGATAGACGGATAGACACCTGGCCCTTTATCAACCCCATTGATTTAGCGTCTCCTCTTTACACGGCCAAGGAACGCCCGGGTGAAAGGGGGAAGAGGGGTGGGGAGGTGGAGCGGGAGGGGGCACCCCGGCTCAGAACCAAAGCAAACCCAATTAAAAATAATTGCGACCACGTCAACGCATTTCTCGCGTTTCTAAAGTGAGTGAGCGAGAGTGAGAAAGAGAGCGGCTGAGGAGGGAGGGGGGCGGGGGAAAGATACTGTAGGAGACAGAACGGCGTAAAGAGGAGGGGAAGTTGGCTTGGATTAGAAGCGGCACGCAGCAGCAGCAGTTTCTGCTGAGTTCAAGGGGACAGTGCTCGCGTCAAGAATATTCTTATATTCTTATTCTTTTGTCACCTTCAGTCCCCGAAAAACGACCATTTCTCCCATGGCTTTGCCTCGTTTTCAGGAGAGTGGCCTTCTCACTTTGCAGATATATACCTTTCAGAGGGAGAGAGAGAGAGAGGGATTTTTTTGAGGGGGGGGGGACTTTTGCAATTCGCACACCGAGTGATGAGCTCTCACAAGTCAATCAATATCGCAACCGTCTCGCGTGCTTGAGTGATGGGCCACCAGAGCCGGGCGGAGCTGGGACGGAGCCCCGGGCCGACCTCGCACACACGCACACACACGGAGTGCCCGACGCGGAGTACACGACGGAGTCGGGTTGCTAACGACGTCAGGAAAAACGAGTAATGCGGTGCGCCGCAGTGTCTCGCTTCGTTACCGCCGGAGACAGTCGACACCGCACTATTAATGATCGACGAGCGCGGGGAGGCCCCGCTGTGGCGCGCGGATAGCGAACGGGGTCAGGGCGACGTCGTGTTGCCTCACCACATGTGACCACACCATGCTTAATGTGTCCACCCCTAAGGATCTTACTTTTTGCACTTGCACTACTTTAACTGAGATAAACAAACAAATCGAGATGAGATATTAAATGAACTATTTATTTCGTCACAAGCAACCCATTCATTGTTAGAAAAAAATTCAAGTCTTTGACGAAATTTTCATTGAAAACGAAGAAAGATTTTCTTCGGGTCAAAGAAAAGTTGTTCGATTTGACGAAACTGCGGTTATTTATTTTTTAATTTATTTTCGTAATCTGAACGAAAAACATTTACTTTGGTTTCTGGCAGGAAATTTTCTTTATTGTACTAAATAATTTTTTGTTTCTGAAAGGATCTGTTTTCTGGTTGCAAGACATAGCCGAAGCAATCAAAATAAGGTAACGGTGTCACCTACCATTCCTACAAACATGGCCAGGAGGATGTGAGTAAACTGTGCTCCTCAGAGAGGGGCGTTCTCCGGGCGAGAGGGTTTGTTATTAATGCGCCCACTTCAACTCATTACCGCCCCACCTCACCCCGCCACGCCACGCCACGCCCCGCCCGCACCCATCTCCACCTGTGGATTTTGGCGCCCAGGCGCCGGGTTGTCTCACCTGCAGCATGAGGGAGATGGCCACGATGCCCTGCGCCTTGTGCTGCGCCTCCGACATGTTGTGGTACAGCTCGGCGTTGAAGCCGTACAGCTGGATCTCTCCCGGGAAGGTCTGGCCTTGCACGGTGTGCTCCGAGCCGTGGCCGTCGTGCGTGCCGTAGTGGATGTAGCCCTCCTGCAGCTGGTAGCGGTAGGCGAGCGGGCCGCCCGAGATGTTCACGTGGTGCTTGGAGTCCTGGTCGACGCGCAGCACCAGGGACTGTCCTGTGTTGGCGAGAGTCCCGCTGATCTGTAGGCAGCCAGAGACCGCCACCGTAAGGACAGCCTCAAGGCAAACCGGACAAGACGGTGACCCAACCAGAGTCCTCTCGGCTTTTGGTGACCTCACCTTGTGCTTGTCGATGTGGAGTGGCCGGAGTCGGGGGTCGAACAGCAGCTTGTCGGCCTGGATGTCGACGGGGGACTGGCGGCGGCCCTTGCTGCACAGGCCCCATTGAGGGTTGATGAGCCCCCAGAAACCGGGACCTGCTCAACATTCAGCACAACGTGTCATTCGTCAAACTGAGACACACTCTCCTCTGAGTCAAAAATTTACATTTCAAATCCTAGTTTACCCGAAATTCCGTCATAGGTCCACCACTCTTCCCAGCTGCTTTGGCCATCTGGCGGGACAAAGAGTTTATGCAATAATTTAAACTGTTGGAAAACAAACAATAAACAAATGGGGCAAAAATGCGCGCCAAAAAAAATTAACACAACAAACCCCGCGTGAAGAAGATGAGTACAAACAGTGGTATCCTTAGGCAGTTCATCGCGGACGTCACGGGGAGGACATTACATTGAGAAAACGGGCCGGCGTGGCGGGGGCGCGCCGGAGGGTCCAGCGGGTACGCCTCGCGGCGACGACAGCCCCGGAGCAGCGGCCGGGCCGAGGCAGCGGCACCGCGGAGGACGCGCGGCGCGGTGAGGCGGACAGGAGGAAGTGGCGGCCGCGGCGCGCTCCCGCCAACGGCCGGGGGGGCCGGCAGGGCCTGCTTGGGGTAGTCGGCGCGGCGAGACCCCGCGACCGACGCGCCCGTCGCGACACCGCAACCGCGCGCCACCTACCGGGCGCGAAGCGGAGGGTGGCGACAATACCCCCGCGCCGCGACGACCCCTCGCGAGCCGTGCGCCCGCGGCCCGCGGTAGCGGCGGCGTGGCGCTATACTCCTAGCGGGTTCAGCACGGCCGCGGAGTATCAGCGGACGGTCGGGCCTACCCCTCCACGCTCAGCGACCCCGCGCTGCTGGATAGGGGTAGATCATGAAGGTGGCGGTGGTGCGTGAGCCGACGGGTTGCAGTCGGCGGTGGCGGCACTACCCCGCGCCTGCTCAAGGGGTTGACGGGGTTGACGCACCGCGGGGAGGGTAGCGGCCGCGGGCAGAGGGAGGCTGTAGTGCGGCGCGGTGGTGTGCCTTACAGTGCGGAGCAGATGGCGCGTGACGCCGAGGGGTTGTCCAACCCTTCACCTTTGTGGCCTCCGGGCCGGGGAGGCCTGGGCGCCGCTCCCTAGGCTCCGCTGCTGCGGGCGCGGGGCAGGGAGAGCGCCACAGCAGCGCCGCCGTCGCGAAGGGAAAAAAATGATGACTTCCTGTTGACCCTCGGCTGCGCCAACCGCGACACGCGCGGCGGAAGTAAAGGCGAAAGATAGGGAGGAAGCGCGTGAG